ATATATATCTACAATGTGTAGTGATCAAATCAGGGTAACTAGCAAGTCAATCACCTCAAACATTTGTCATCTTTTTGTACAAGCATAAGTTTTTTAAGCCTTCGGTTTCTTTGTTTTCAAATCAATTTTATTGAGCATAATTTACATATAATAAAATGCACCCATTTAAAATGTACACTTTGATGAGTTTTGCCAAACTGTATAAACCTTTGTAACCCTCATCATAATTAAGACATAAACATTTCCTTCAGCCTAATCTATTCCTTCATATTCTGTTGGAGTAAACCACTCCAACCCAGGAATCCACTGATTTACTTTCTGTCACTATAGATTTGTTTTGTTTTTGTTCTAGAACTTCATAAGAATAAAATAATGGATATATTTTATGAATAATTTTTCCCTGCCTATGTTCATTTTCTCAAAGATGAATTTTTCAGGCACATAAGATTTAAAATTGGATGAAATCAAATGATCAAATTTTTCCTTTATGATTTGTGCTTTCCTTTTTTGTTGTTGTTTTGTTTCGTTTGGTTTTGTGTTTATGACAGATCTCACTCTGTTGCCCAGGCTAGAGTGAAGTGGCACAGTCCCAGCTCACTGCAACCTCTGCCTCCTGAGTTTAAGTGCTTTTTGGGCCTCAGCCTCCCAGCCAATTTGTACCTTTTGTACCCTCATTTAGCAATTTTTGTCTGTGCATGGTGGCTCATACCTGTAATCCCAGCAATTTGGGAGGCCAAGGAGGGCAGATCACTTGAGCACAGGCGTTTGAGACCAGCGTGGTCAAATGATGAGACTCTGTCTCTATAAAAAGCACAAAACTTAGCTGAGCATGGTGGCGCAAGCCTGTAGTCCAGGCTATTACAGGGGCTGAGGTAGGAGGATGGCTTGAGCCTGGGAGGTGGAGGATTCAGTGAGCTGTGATGGTGCCACTGCACTGCAGCTTTGGCGACAGAGCAAGACCCTGTTTCAAGGGAAACTTTAAAAAAAAAGAAAGAAAGAAATTTTTGCTTACCCAAGTCCTCAAAAATTATCTCCTGAGTTTTCTTTATAAGATTTGTGGCTTCGACTTTTCCATTTAGGTCTACAATTTGTTCTGAGTTAATTTTTGTGTATAGAGTAAACAGAATATCAAAGTTCACTTATTTCCATGTGAATATCCAGTTTTTCCAGCACAACTGGATAAAAAGACTATCATCGTTGAATTAATTTAATTTGAATTAATTTTCCATCTTTGTGAAAAACCAGTTATTGACACTTGTGTGGGGCTATTCCTAATCAGTTCTGTTCCACTGCTCTATATATCTATCATGTGCCAAAACCACACTCTTTATAGTTATCTTTATAGTTAAGTCTTGAAACCAGTTGAAAATAAAGTCTTCCCAACTTTCTTCTCTGAAAAAAAAATGGTTTTGGCTGTTCTATGTAATTTGCATACATATATAAATTTTTTAACCAGCTTGTTAAAAATTTTGCAAAAAAACCTTCTTAGGATACTGACTGGGATGATGAACCTGTAGATCAATTTGGGGACAACTGACATCTTAAAATTTTCAAACCTCTAATCCATTAACGATAGCTCTCCATTTAGTTTTTGGTCTTCTTTAATTTCTCTCAGCAGTGTTTTGAGGTTTTTGGTATACAGAACTTAACACATTTTTTTAAACTTATCCCTAATAATTCCTGTTTTTGATATTGTGAATGGGATTTTCTTTTGAGATAGAGTCTAGCTGTATTGCCCAGGCTGGTGTGCAGTGGCATGGTCTCGGTTTACTGCAGCCTCCACCTCTTGGGCTTCTGCCTCAGCCTCCCAAGTAGCTGGGATCACAGGGTCCACCACCACACCTGGCTAATTCTTGTATTTTTAATTGAGATGGGGTTTCACCATGTTGGCCAGGCCGGTCTTGAACTCCTGACCCCATGATCTGCCCACATCAGCCTCCCAAAGTGCTGGAATCACAGGTGTGAGCCACCACATCCAGCCTGAATGGGACTGTTTTTAAAATTTTATTTTTCAGTTTATTGTTGACATTGATCTCATATTCTGTGACCTTGTTAAGGTCACTTGTTAATTCAAATACCTTTTTTTAAACTGTACACAATCATGTTGCTTTTCAATAAAAACAATTTTACTTCTTATCAATCTGTATGCATTTGCTGTCTTTTTATTGACTTATTTCACTGGTTGGAGCCTCCAACAAATTTTCAATAGAAGCCCTTTTCCTAATTTTACAGAGAAAGCATTCAAGTTTTAACCATTTTGAGTGATGTGAGCTGTAAGTTTTTTGTAGTATCCCTTAGCAGGATGAAGAAGTTCCCTTTTAGTCCTATTTTTCTAAGTTTTCATGGAGAATAGGGGTTGAATTTTGTTAAATATTCTTCATGAATGCATTAGGATGATTGTAGTTTTTTTCTCCTATAATTAAAATCAATTACATTTATTTCATCTTTTAGAATTTAATTCTAAAGAAGGCTGTGGGAATGAGTATAAAAATACAAAAAAAATAAGAAAAAAATAGAATTTAAGATTTACACTAATTTTGTATGACTTCAAAAAGCTCAAACTTGTCAAGATGTTTTATCCTTTTTATATATTGCTCAGTTCAGTTTGCTAATATCTGTTAAGGCTTTTTTGCATTTATTTTCGTTTTCTGTTTTGCTAGTGTCTGTATTTTATTTTGGTGACAGAGAGATAGAAGCCTCGTAAAATGAGTTGAGCTGTGTTCCCATTCTCTATTTTATGAAAGTGTTTTACGAGATTGGTATTAGTTCTTCATTAAATGTTAGAATTCACCAGAGAGGCAATCTGGGCACAGCGGAATTTTTTATGTTTTGAGGGCATAGGAGGTTAATTATTAATTCAATTTCTTTAAAAGATATAGGAATATTCTGATTTTTAATATCTCTTTCTATTTTGATAATTTGTGTCTTTTGTTTTCTTTTGTTTTTTAGAGATAGAGTCTTGCCCTGTTGCCCAGGCTGGAGTGCATTGGCGAGATGTCAGCTAACTGCAACTCATGCCTCCCAGATTCAAGTGATTCTCCTCCCTCAGCCTCTCAAGTAGCTGGGATTATAGGCGCCCACCACCACATCTGGCTAATTTTGTGTGCTGCCCAGGCTGGTCTCAAACTTCTGACCTCATGATCGGCCTGCCTCTGCCTCCCAAATTGCTGGGATTATAGGCATGAGCTACTGCGCTCCATTGATAATTTCTGTTTTTAAATAAATTTTTCTTTTCTGATTAAATTGTCAATTGTTTGTCGCAACATTGTTTTATAATATTCCTTTGTTATTCTTTTTTATATCTTTAATATCTACAGTAACACCTGATCTTGGTAATTTGTGTTTTTGCAATATTTTCAAATCAAGTTAGCTACAGATTTATTAATTTTATGTCATTTTAACTCATTTTTCTCCATCCATTTTAAAATTTTATTTCTACTATTCTTTTTCTTTCCTTCTATTTTCTTTCAATTTCATTTGCTCTTCTATTTTTAGCTTTTTAAGTTAGAATCTCAAAACGTTGTTTTTTTTAAAAAAAACTAATACATTTTTAATTAGAATTTTTTTCTTTTTTTATAACAGGACAAGTAACAGATTACATCAAACTTCAGAACTTCTCAAATACCTAGTTATTATACACATTCCCATCTGTCTTGCAGGGAGGGATCTTGGTTGGCTTAACAGTTTCAGGTAAAATAAGCTGCATAATAGTATATATTACGATAATAAATGTTTATATGAAATATGTTTTAGAAGCAAGAAAAAGATGCATCTGCATCAAAGGCGACCTTTTAGAATGCCACAACTATTTTTTACATTCACTCTTGCAACAGGTTACAAGATGGGGGTCACTAAGCTCAGATAAATTGCTATGATGCACATAAAATAAAGAAAGATTGGTTACTTTATATATTATATATATTTATATTTTCACACGTTAGCATCTGAGACAAACTGAGAATTTAAAATTTATTCTCTTCAGATAACAAATCATTTTTATTTCTTCATAAACAAGGTGCTCACAAAAGCACATAAGTAAGGAACAATAGGGCTTTCTGTTACAGAATAGTGTGCATCATATTTACTTAACCAGAAAACCTGCATTATCTGTGCAAGTTCATGCTGCAAACCCAATGCATACAATAAAACGAAAAGGAAACTGAGCTTTAAACAAAACCAAAACTGATACAATTCCAGCTGTTTCACATATTCAGTTGGACTGACAATGACATATCAACAGGTTATTTTTCAAAAGCCGATTGTAGATTACAAGTAAAATTTGCTCAGCAACTATTTTTATCTGAAATTATAAACAGTAATAATGTAACTTTACTGAAAAAAATTAAATACGGAGGCACAAAGCAACGGTCAATTGTGCATTTACTATATTGCAAACTTTATGAGCCAAAATTGCAAATATAATTTGTCAAATACACATTTTGTTTCAACAGTGTGCCCTGCTTTAAACTTGCCATATAACAGAGGCACTAACATATCATTAAATTATAAATAGATTGGGAAAATGACTTAATCCCAATGGTACTATGTCACAGCCCTGCTATTTATAATAAATACAGCTTTTTGCAAAACATTTTTTCAATATCTGCCAATTTCTTCTTTATCGCTCACATAAATTTGAATCTATTACAACTGGTATCAGGAATTTCACACAAAATCATACTTAGACTTTTTTTATAAAATCTATAAAAGATATTTTAAACTTGTATCTAATACTTCCAGGTGTTTGGCTGTTTGATTTATGCAAAAGTACAGCCATATGTGTATATCTGTGTGTGTATATATACACATACATCTATATATATACACACACATATACACATACATATTTATACACACCCATTAGAATATGAATAAAACAGAAAGTTTATTTTACTGCTTTAATGCAGACATCCTCACAAAACAAGACTACTTTCACCACCACCAGCATTTATACATATATACAAAGCCAGTTTAAGTATATATATATATCCACTTACACATATTTGTAACCACTAAGCCCAAATTAATTTTCCCATATTCCAGCTGTAGCAAATGAATCACTTATAAGCAACAGAAACTTAAGGTTAAATTGGGAAATCAACAGTTTTACCACACTAGCCTGTAGGAGCTATGCAGGTGACTGTATGCAAAAATTCACAACATTAGATCACAAGAAATTATGGGACTACAAGAGGCCTTTTCATCATGCTTTTGTGTGGTTATCCAAACACTTCTTGGTGCAAAAATACAACCAACACATCTGAAAATGCTTAATAAAGTCAATGCTCCTCATGCAAAACTTTAAATGTATTAGTTTAACTGAGCTCCAAAAACTGAATGAAATAATTATCCTACCTACTCAGCATTGATGCCTCACTGCTAAATCCCTTTGGAACCTTAAGACTTCTGGAACGTTCAAACAGATGTCTTCATCAGTAAAAATATTATGTAAAAAAACATTTAAAAAGGAAGACAAAAAGCCAAACAGGAATTTTCCTATTGTAAATAACAGTCTTAGAAATGGAAGAAAATCTTTCCAGGAACTTCCTTGAGAATTGGTTAGGCCAGTCCGAAGATGAAGATGACACATAGAGTTCATATGTTTATTTGATGGCTTCAGTGGAGTGTTGGAAGTAAGAGCCTGGGGAAAATGATGGTGGTTTCTATCTAGTCGCAACTATTTTACTGTAACCAACTTCCCTTCAAACCAAGAGCCATGCGATGCTTTAAAAGCCTTTCCAGCATATTCTGGAGACCGACATTTAACATATACACAACTCTCACATGAATTTTTGTCTACTGCAATGTGAACAATGCCATCATTATCACTGCATTTTTCTAAAATTGCTTCTTGAATTGCCAAATGCCACTGATCCCCTATTTCCATAACAGGGATCAAACATATTCCAAATCTTTAGACACAGTGTTAAACTATGTGGTGGTGAATTTCTTCTATCTAAATGAAATGCTTGATCCTGCCATACTTGAGATAGTATAACTAATATTTTGTCACAGGATGCAGAAGGCTGGATTCATCATCAAACCAGAAAAGCTACGCCACCTATTCTTCGTGTTTCTGTGCAAACTCTAGGCTCATTAGCAACAAGGAAATCGACAGCTCTATTCCAGACTTTCTTCATTTTTTTCCTGTCAAGGCTGTATTAAGAAATGGCATACATGTGGAATAGGGATGTAAGGTTGTAAATCTTTGTTTTCCTGGCACACTTCATTATGACTTCATAAAACATCTATATTCTTTACCACCATATCATACATCTGCCTGGTTTCCTCCTCCTCTTTTGTCCAATGATATTTCATGTAATGCAGAACAACACAAACCATCACTACACCTAAGCATAATAACAACAATCTGTGGGTAATGGTAACAAAAACACGTCAAAAACAACACCAAAAAGACATCAGTGGTCTTGTGGACTGTAAAAACTGCCCATCAGTTATATTTGTCAATTCTTCCTCAGGGCCAAAACCAACACACCTTATTCCAACATCTTTTCCATTTTCTAAGATCCACTGCAAGGAAGTGTTAAATATACCTTCATATTCACGACCTAAATCTTTTAAATATGCAGCTGCCTTTTGAACAGAAAGCGTTCTTTGACTAGAACCGCCACATTCATGATCTCCTGCAAGCTGTGCCAATCGATCATGAAGCTTATATAATGTGTTCATCATAAGATTTTTTTCACTTTCTTGTATTTTTCCAAATGTTTCACCAAAGGGGTTTTCTATGCTGAGTTCTCCATTTTCAGACACTCCTGTCCCTCTCATTCCTAGATAAGTCAGTCCCAGTATTAGGAAAAATAAGCAGGCAGCAGTTAAGAGAAACATCAAGTAGTGGGCACTGAAACTCCCTGTTTGGGACACCTCCTCCCATTTAAATTGCTGGAGAAGTTCCTCTTCAGGCTCAGAAAGCTTTGGTTTGTTGTATGTGTTTCTCAGGTAGTTATGATTGGAGCCTGTATGATTGGCGTGATTGATCCTGAGTGAACCAGAGGCAGCCACCGCCGCACTGGGAGGGAGACTGTTAGAATAAATCCTGGGGGAGTCAACATTGAAGGCCCCACCACCAATCTGATTATTGGTTTTCAGAAGGGAGCCTGTTTTTTTTAATGTTTGTAACAATTTAACTTTAATTATATATAAAAACTATATACTTTTGTCCCTTCCACATACATTCATACTTTGTGTTCTTTTAGCCAGAGTTTGCTTCTTTTTACATTGTGTATCATTAACAGATATTTGTGATTATAGCTATTCCTTTTTTTTTTTGACATAATCTTGTTCTATCACCCAGGCTGGAGTATAGTGTGACAAGATCTTGACTCACTGCAACCTTTGCCTCCCAGGTTCAAGTGATTCTTGTGCCCCAGCCACTTGAGTAGCTAGAATTACAGACATATACCACCATACCTGGCTAATTTTGTTGTTCTTTTTTTTTTTTTAAACAGAATAATAACAAGGCTTTAATGGCTCCATTTTCTTATGATTATACAAACATATAAATTTTGAAAAGGTAATGCCATTTAGTAAAATCCATAAAAATAAGTTTTGCCACAGTGCACAGAAAAGTTCACTGATTCCCCATGCCATCGCCAAGCACCTCTGATTCGCGTTGGAAGACCCTGGCCGGGTGTGGTGCCGGCTCTGTAGTTTCAGCTACTGGGGAAGCTAAGACGGGAGGATCACTTGAGACCAGGAGTTCCCGGCCAGTTCCTGGGTAACATAGCAAGACCCCCTCTCTCTCTCCTTTTTTAATTGGAAGACATAAAGTGTCTATACATTCTACATGGAATCATGAACATACTAAGGAGAGTCTGCACACTCCAACATCACATATGTCCATGAGCAGGATCTGCAATTCACTTCACACTGGAGGTAAGTACCCAGCTGGGGTCCTCTGGCCACAGCAGTCAGGCTTCAGAGCTGAGGCATCTCACTACAAGGGAAGTAGTTTTCAGTCTGAACAGGACCAGGGCTTCGTAGCCGACTTGCTGCGGCCTTAAGGGAGACGACTTGCTAAAGAGTGAGGGCACGTTCATCATGTGCAGGAGCTTCTTGACCGCCCTGGGGAAGAGGCCCAGCTCGGCCTCAGTCTTGGTGACCTGCTCCTTCATCCTGGCCACATGGCCGCCCACCATCCTCACAAAGGCCTCCAGCCGGACAATCCTGCTGTAGATTCGCAGTATCTCGGTGGCCTTCCCATGCATGTGCGGCACTCCCTCGCTGACGACGTGGGACGAGTCTCTGCGAAACATGTCCAGCATGCCCATGAACTCGTCCACTCTAGTGGGCAGGTCCTCCAGGCTCGCGTCCAGGGCCTTGACCTCGGGCCGCGCGCCGGCTCCGGGCAGCAGGCAGATGGCATAGCCCGTGGCGGCGTGGCGTAGCAGCGGCAGGTCGCGGCCAGGCGCACTCCGTGCCCTCGTCCTCCCATGGCCCCGAGGCGCTGCTGTGGCTCTGGGGCATGGTGCCGCTGTCCCGGCTCCAGGCGGCACACTGTGGCTCTGCAGAAGGGAGCCTGTTGACGAATCCAAGGTTGAGTCCATGTCAGTAAGTGGCGGGGGCAGGAGAGGGGTCAGTTTCTTAGCATTAACACGGTATCTAGGAACTGGGCTAGAGTCCACATGATCACACCCTCCTCGCTGCTCTGCAGCCACCACCTCTTTGAGGTTTTGGCTCCTGTCTAGACTCCTGGCAGCCGCCACCTTGTCATTCATCGCAAGTCCTCCCCCTCCCTGAACTGAAGTCTCCAGCCTGCCGCCGTTTTTAGCAGTCAGCAGGGAGAAAGGCTTACTATGGGTCCATCTGGGCCAATGCCGGGAAAGGGAGTAGTCCTTTAATACCTGTCTGGTGGAGGCCACGTCGTCGTCGTCCACTTCCTCTGAGTCGGAATAGTTTTCCCGGCAGCTGTAGGGGACAAGCCGGCTGCCATGCACGGTCCGGCTGGCCCAGAGCGGCTCCTCGGCCTCCGGGTCCCTCTCCTCACTGTCCTCTCCCTCCCCTTACTCGTCCTCCACGGCTCCATCTTTCCCTGGTGCAGTCTGCAGCTCCAGGCCCGCCGGCCTCCCGGCCCTCCACCATGAGTGGGGCTTCCTTCGCTCTGCCAAGTTTCTGTTATCACCTCGCTGGCAGCCAGGGGCGCCGGCGGCACTTTGAGCCCGCGGTACTGGAGCGAAGCCCAGTCTTTGCTCCCGCTGCCGCCGGCCTAGTCTTGGGGACTGGCCTCCATGTCCGACTCGTCCGAGCTGAAGCCCAGCAGCACTTTGCTGCCAGCCGCGGGGGCGGTGGAGGAGCCCCCGGGCCCTCCCAGGAGGCTCTCCGGACCAGAGGCCGAGATTCCGCACAGGCTCCCAGGGCTTCCTAAGTAGGAGAGGTCGCCTGAGACCGGCGGGACCTCCATCCCCATGGCCGCTGCTGCCACTGGTCCCGTGGCTGCAACCGTGGTAAAACGCTGGTTTTAAACCTTTCATCTTTTTGTAAATATTTTAAGCTATGCTTTTCCTTGTAAGCCCAGTTTTAGCTGATCTCATAAATTTCCAAATTTCAATACATTGTGCTTTTATTTCATTTAGTTCAAAATATTTTTAAATGTCTTTTGTGATTATTCTTTGACATATGCATTATGCAAAACTACTTTTCACTTGTGAAATACTGGGGAATTTTAAGTTATCTTTTTATAGATTTCTAATTTAATTTCAATGTGTTCATAGAATGTTTTCTGTATAATTTTGATAACTTTAAAATATCAAAAGAATTTTTTATTTATTATTTTTTTTTTTTTTTTTGCGATGGAGTCTGTTTCTGTTTCCCAGGCTGGAGTGCAACGGAATAATCTCAGCTTACTGAAACCTCTGCCTCCCAGGTTCATGCCATTCTCCTGCCTCAGCCTCCTAGGTAGCTGAGACTACAGGCATGCACCACCATGCCTAATTTTTTGAATTTTTATTAGAGACAGAGTTTCACCATGTAGGCCAGGCTGGTCTCAAACTCCTGACCTCAAGTGATCTGCATGCCTCAGCTTCCCAAAGTGTTGAGATTACAGGCATGAGCCACCATGCTTGGCCTAAAATATCAAACTATTGAGAATTATTCTATGGCATGAGATATAGTTCATCTTTTATGAACATTCCAAGTGCACTTGAAAGGATTGTGTTAATGTAGTGCTCTATAAATTTAATATGGTCAAATTTGGTAATGGTTCACACTCTTTAATTAAATGCAATTGACAATATATTTAGGTTTAAATCTACCTCCTTGCTATTTCTTTTTTATTTAATCTGTTCTTTGTTCATTTTTCCTTTTTCATTACTTTTTTGGTATTGATTATTTTTCAAATATTGTATTTGCTCTTTTCTATTGGCTTATTTGCTATATCTCTTTGTGCTCTGGGGTTTACAATGTGCATCTTCAAAAATTGCAGTCTGATATCAAATGATATTACACCACTTCATGGATAAAGTGACTATCTTTTAATAATATATTTCCATTTCCTTTCTCCCTTTGTGCTGTGGCTGTCATATATGTTTTATTTATACAAGTCTTATAAGCACCAAAAATGCATAGGGTAATATTTTTGTCTTAAACAGTAAACTGCCATTTAAAGAAATATAAAAATTGTGACAAAACTTTTCATTTGTAGTCACATATTTGCAATTCCAAGATCTTATCATTTCTAAGTTTCGGTTTTCCTTTACTTCAGCCTGACGGCTATAAATTCTTGAGTAGAGACAGGGTCTTACTAGGTTGTCAGCACTGGTCTCGAACTCCTGAGCTCAATTGATCCTCTTGCCTTGGCCTCCCAAAGGGCTCGGATTACAGGCATGAGTCCCTATGCCTGGCCTATAAATTTTTTTACTGTTTCTTTATCTGGAAAACTCTTTATTTCACCTTTATTTTTTTAATTTATAAAATTTTTAATTATAAAAAAATCTTTAATTTTTTTTTAGACAGAGTCTTACTTTGTTGCCCAGGCTGGAGTGCAATGGCGTGATCTTGGCTCACTGCAACCTCCACCTCCCAGGTTCAAGCAATTCTCTTGCCTCAGCCTCCCAAGTAGCTGGGATTACAGGTGCCTGCCACCACACCAAGCTAATTTTTGTATTTTTAGTAAAGATAGGGTTTCAACGTGTTGGTCAGGCTAGTTTTGAATTCCTGACTTTAGATGATTCACCCAGTTGGCCTTCAGAAATGCTAGGATTACAGGAGTGAGCCACTTCTCCCAGCCATTGCCTTTAAATTTAAAGAATATTTTTGCTGATTAGGAAATTCTTGGTATTTTTCCTTTTTATTTTTTTAAACGTTTACTTTTGTTTCAGGGTACATGTGCAGGTTTATTATGTAGGTAAGTTGAGTCTTGCAGGTGTTTCGTGTACAAATTGTTTCATCACCCAGGTAATGAGCATAGTATCTGATAGGTAGTTTTTTTTATCCTCACCCTCCTCCCACACTCCACCCTCAAGTAGGCCCTGGTGTCTGTTGCTCTCTTCTTTGTGTCCATGTGTACTCAATGTTTAGCTCCCCAGTGAGAACATGCAGTATTTGATTTTCTGTTTTGCATTAGATTGCTTAGGATAATGGCCTCCAGCTCTATCCATGCTGCAAAAGACATGATCACATTCTTTTTTATGGCTGCAGAGTATTCCATGGTGTATATGTACCACGTTTTCTTTATCCAGTCTTCCATTGCTGGGTACTTAGGTTGATTCCATGTATTTACTATTGTGAATAGTGCTGTGATGAACATATGTATGCATAGGACTTTATGGTAGAACAATTCATATTCCTTTGGGTATGTACCCAATGGATTTTGGGTAAAATTCTAGTTCTGTTCTAAGTTCTTTGAGTAATCTCCAAACTGCTTTCCACAGTGGAAGGATTTTTCTTTCAATAAATGTTGCTGGGATAACTGGCTAGTTAATGCAGAAGATTGAAACTCGACCCCTTTTACTGTATGCAAAAATCAACTCAAGATGAATTGAAGGCTTAAATCTAAAACTTAAAGGGTTTATGGGGCTATAAAAACCCTTGAAGGAAACCTAGAGGATATCATTGTGGACACAGATACTGAAAAAGATTTCATGACAAAGATGCCAAAAG